AAACCATTATACGTTTACCTTATCTCTTAATTTGGACATAAAAATATATTTCAACTATAATTCTAGGCGAATTGCGCCTGCTAGAACATCTTAGTAACAATTCTAACCATCCAAAGGAATTATTAGTGACATTATATTACCTTTATTTGTCCATTTTCCTACGAGATGACATTATCAAACATTTGCTCGGCGGTATATGCGTGTCTTGCTCGGCGGTAGGTTGTATATACACGGGTACTCTTTCCCCTCGTGAATACATACATAATAATAAGCATGTTTTATAACAATGTCCTCTAATCAGATGAGCTCAGATCAAATGAGCAAGTGTCATAATATCAGACAAAGGAGGTACTGAAACAGAAAGATACTGTGAAGATTATTAGAATCCTCTGCACTTAAATGCTACACACACCTTTAATCTTACTACTTTAGCCTCATTAATATAAATACCTATTATCACGGGGTACCATCGAATAATTTTGGCAACGTACCGGAGAACGACATTTTATTAAGAAATGGCAATAATTTAGCACAATAAATTTTTTAACTAGAGTTCTATTTTGATTTTGACAAAAGTAAGTATTCCATGCAATAACTAATTCATTCATGAGTTTGTAGGAATTCTGTTGGAACCCAGTTCTGATCAAGTACGAAGTTATTGAAATCGGCGCAGACAGACTTTACTCCGAAAGATGGTTTTTCGATTATAATTTTTCACAACATTTAAGTATATATTTTATTTTTTTAAATTATATAATTCAACTGATCTGCTCCGGTTACGTTCCCAGCTCCGGTTACGTTCCTAAGTAATATTTTTAAAACTTTTTTTTTAATTAAACAAATCAGAGTGTGAATCAGAAATAACAGAATTATTCAATAGTATAAGGACTATTCTGTACTTTTTTCAAAAGTCTATACTTAAATGTTGTAAAAAGTTATAATCGAAAAACCATCTTTCGAAGTAAAGTCCGTCTGCGCCGATTTCAATAACTTCGTACTTGATCAGAACTGGGTTCTAACAGAATTCCTACAAACTCATGAATGAAATAGCCATTGCATGGAATACTTACTTTTGTCAAAATCAAAATAGAACTCTAGTTAAAAAATATATTGTGCTAGATTATTGCAATTTCTTAGTAAAATGTCGTTCTCCGGTCCGTTGCCAAAATTATTCGATGGTACCCCGTGATTATAGTTAATTATTTCTTTTACATAAATCAAATTAGGAAGATGGTCTTAACAGCATTGTTAATACAATTCAAGGAAGTGCAATGTCACAGTGCCAGCTATTTTTTCCTAATTAAAGACAAACTAGGACACACTGTAATAAATATTGCACATTGAAGAGCAAAATGGTCACCATGTAATTTACCCAGCATGGCCAAAATCTAATCAAATCTTGGCACTAGTCACTCTGCTCTTGCATCTGTTTAACCTTGAGAAGGTCATTGAAGGTCAAATCTCAAATCTAAAGTCAGATTTTAATTTCTGAGAACTTGTAGATGATTTTGAAAAAATTGAAGCCAGTCTAAACAAGTCTTGTAAGATTTTGTTACAAGAAATTTGTAACGAGGAATTTGACCTTTCTGACCTCAAGATGACCATCGAAGGTCAAATCTCAAATCTCAAGTCAGATTTGAACTTGTGAGAACGTTTGGATGATTAAAAAAAAAGTTGAAGCCAGTCTAAGCAGTGGAATGTGTAAGATTTTGTTACAGGAATTTGTTACAAGAAATTTGTTACAGATGCCAACTGTCATCCAGAAAAAAGTTGGAGACCATAACAATATGTCACATTGAAAACCATTTGAATTTGATATTTATAATTTGAAACAAATGATCGCTTTTAAAATTCAGCAGAAGCAAAACATTGTTTATAAAATAAGAACAATTTCACAGCAACACTATTATGAGATATTACTCTGACAGGTGAACATACATAAGATTATGTATGTTTGAAAGAGGCAGTCTATATATGCCAAACTTTGTTTGATGCATTGGATAATAAAGAATAACAAGGCATTAACATGCAAAATGTCAGCACCTGCCATTTGTTACAGAGACTGAGCATCGACCACCAAATACCAAACTCTGAACACTATTCACAAAAAGTTGGAGACCATAACAATATGTCACACTTGTGGTTGTTACATCATAAAAACAGATTTAGCTAGAATTCATTGACCTGAGAGAAAATGTCACAATGGTTTATGATTGTGAATTAGAAGAAGGAGATTAGTGGAAAATAACAAAGAACAAGCTGACATTCTGGGAAAGCTCTGTAAAGAGACAAAAGTGACTGTGAATTTCCTGCACAGAATAACACAGGTTATTGACCAGGAAGTAAATGGAGGGAGGGGGGGGGGGGGTGACTGCCCAAGAGGATCATTGAGTGTTATAGCACATAGGGTCAAATTTATACTTTCAAAGAACAAAACATATTTGATCAAATAACTCATTTTGAAAAGTTAATGCTAGAAATAACCAGGCAGTTGTAGGGAAACATTTTTTTACAGAAAATAGGGACCATCTTTGGAAATGTTTTCTTGATAAGAGATTGTAATGAGGTTCAAATTTTACTCAAAAATGGCCATCCATTGAATCGAGCAGCCATTTTGAACTGATTTTGAAAAAATATTAGGTATGCTTCCATGTTTAAAGCATAACATATAAACCTTTAACAAATTATTTAAGTTAAAGCAAAATGTAAGCGTGACAAAAACTGATAGACATTTTAAATTAGGAGGCAATTTTGGGCAGACATGCCTGAAAGGGATCAGCTTATAAAATTTGGATAATTTATTTCAGTCTCTTCCTTCTAAGTGCTAATATGCATATTTGTTGGATGAATGAAAGATTGTGTCAAAACTAGACAAATCTTTAACAAGGCATTAACATGCAAAATGTCACAACCTGCCATTTGTAACATTTATTGCAGATGCCTAATGTCAAACAGCAACAGCCAACTACCATCACAGTTAGAGAGACTATAACAGTGCAGCGTGCAAGAAACATGTGACTTTTCTATCTTCCATCTACAAACACATTGATCTCACTTTACATTCTAGCTGATTTGGTAAAGAATTTCAGTATTTCATCCTTTCAACCTAGTGCACATGGAAAAAATGCGAGGGAGAGCCCTAGCTGGCACCATTCATTACTGCTGAAGTCAAGCTACACTGTTGACAAAACACCTATTGCGTATATCTCAAATGTTCCCTCATTACTCATGCTACAAGGCTCTACGAGACCAGGGCATAGCAACCTTAATGAAAAACTGTCAGTTTAATTAATTTATCATCTATTTTCATTTCACAAGTCTCGTAAATTGGTTCTTCATCAAAATAGATGCTTAACCTATTAAAATTTACATATCAGTGGGAAACAAAAGAGTTCACCCTAGATTATTATAAATCTCCCTCTAAGAGCGTGTCAAGCCAAAACCAGAACAACGGCAACGCCAAAGCGTAGCGAATCCCATCGAACAGAGATGGCTGGCATTTTTACAAACGAAATATATAGCAAACATCATAAAACAACACACCAGAAAGGCCACCATTTTCAAAATGGTTGCTCACTAGCCAAGTTGTCATCAGAAGAAATAATATGCTTTTAAGTAGCCACCTATAAAATCTTTGAAAAATCGCATACATGTACTTTTAAAATAACACACATAAAAATGGTGGCCATTTTTCAAAATGGCTGACTACTCCCTAAAGTTTTATTAGACAATGTGCCATGCTTAAAGTATTCACATATCAAATATGAACAAAATCGCTCCACTACTTTTCGAGTTATAGTAAAAAATGTAAAAATGACAGCCATTTTTATAAAATGGCCACCTACTATCTGAAGTGTCATGAGACAGTGTGCAAGGCTCATGAGTATTCACATATCAAATATGAACAAAATCGCTTCACTACTTTTCAAGTTATAGTAAAAAACGTAAAAATGGTGGCCATTTTTCAAAATGGCCACCTACTACCCAAAGTGTCATTAGACAGTGTGCCATGTTTATAGTATTCACATATGAAATATGAAACATACCAAATATGGACAAAATCGCTTCACTACTTTTCGAATTATAGTAAAATACGTTAAAATGGCGGCCATTTTTAAAAAAAAATTTCAAAATGGCCGCATTCTACCAAAAGTGTCATAGGACGGTGTGCCATGCTTATAGTATTCACATACTAAATATGAACAAAATCGCTCCACTACTTTTCGAGTTATAGTAAAATACGTTAAAATGGCGGCCATTTTTCAAAATGGCCGCCATCTACCAAAAGTGTCTTTAGACAGTGTGCAATGCTTATAGTATTCACATACCAAATATGAACAAAATCGCTCCACTACTTTTCGAGTTATAGCAAAAAACGTAAAATAACGAGTAAAGGCCGCCATTTTTCAAGATGGCTGCCATGTGCTTCTTTAATGTCTACATTTTTAGTTTTATTAGCCCTTCATAATTTTTTTACATTTAAAACATATTGCTATTACAGTTTTACATATTGCACCTAAATTACAGTAAAATCAGCACTAAAATGGCCATTTTGAATTGAGCGGCCATTTTGAAAATCAGCTTTCGAGCAGAACTTCTACCCCCATAGGGTATATGTGTACAAAATATGAACAAAATTGGGCCAACGGTATTTGAGTTATTGCCCGGACGGACGGACGGACGGACGGACGGACGGACGGACGGACGGACGGACGGACGGACGGACGGACGGACGGACGGACGGAGGCGTTCCCTATATCCCTCCGAACTTCGTTCGATGGGATAATAAAAAAATGAGAAACTAGAACACAGAAATCATTAATAATATTGATCTTAATCATAAATTAAATACCTGGCCTCTAATATGTTTATTATCACGTGATTCAAACATTGTTTTATTTTTTTAAATATTTCCTGTGCAAATTTCATGAAACCATTCATTACTGCTTAATAATGCATAACATACAAGCAACCTGATATCTGAATTAGCAATGCCTTACCTTGGGGGTACAGAGTTAATCATTGTACGGGTCTCCACCAGGCTATCTCTCTACAACTGTATTACGAGCTGTCATCTTCCCAAGTCCTGAAAATAAAATAACATTTGATGATAACCAAATTGAGACATGTGCAAAATCTAATCCAGCAACTCTGAATAACTAAACCTATGATGTCATTTTGATGTTATATTGTAACACTACCCATCCCTCATAAAGCATCTATAGAGCATAAGGAGGAGTGATTAGCTGAAGCATAAAAAAGAATAATCATAAAAAGAAAACAATTATACTCCTACCTTTCCTCTTCAAAGGTTTCTTATTAGTTATCTTATTTGTGAAGTATAATAACAAATGCCCTCATAAGTATTTCCCTTGCATGACTAAACTCTATCTTGCCTGCAGTCCTAACAATTGTGATGCCTACAGAAATTGCCTAATGCTTTAATTGTCAAATCTTACAGATCGCTAACATTTGAACTTCAAAGCAAATAGCAAAGGAATCAACCTTTAGATCGAGTTTAAACTGAATTTGTTAGTACCTGGTCTAGAGAATTATAATCCTAGAATAACTAGGGGCGAACTACTTAGATTAAGTCTAAACAACACCTCCTCATAAAGATCACTGTAAATGTTATCAGGTCAAATATGAGTTAAGAACTCCATAAGTCAGCTCGTGATTTATGTCTGACCTTTTATATGTGTTAACTGGATATTTTTCCAGCACCTAGAGATTGCGAAAACAGTAAGTGATTCTAAGCCACAGGCAATTGAATCTCTCAATAACATGATTTTTAGAGCAGCAAAATGATAAATAGTGCTGGGCTAAATTCTATGAAGATAACTTTAAGGTATTCCAATATGATGCTATCCTGGACAATGAAGCCTAGCAAAAGAAGGTCTAAAATTGCTACTTCAGGATCTAATCTGTTAAAGGATGTTGTGGTATCCTGCATATAATATGATAAATTCTTTATTGTTATTTTTGGATGCTAGGAAGAAAAAGGAGTACAACCATATACGCACATATAATTAAGAATAAGAAATATAGACTGAAGAGCAGGGCTACTAGTTTCGAATACACCCCGCAGGGTCTAGGCACAAACGTTTTCTGTACCCCGAACGATCAAAGGGAGTGAGGGGTTCGAAAGCTTTTGTGCCTAGACCTAAGGGGTGTATTCGAAACTAGTAGCCCTGCTCTGAGGTCTATATTACGATTCGAACATGAAAACTCACCAGAATATTCAAAATCATCAATTACGATGTTCATTTTCACTTTTTTCATTTCTACTTCCGGTTGAGCTTTTGGCTGTTCCAATTTGTTTACTTACCCCCTGACCCCGTTTTTTATTGATATTTCGGCCTATTTTTGCTCTGACAGAAAATTTTGGCCTGGATAATTTCTCCCTGCCATTTTGAATTTTGCAGACGAGAGGGGGATGTGAAAAGAATGGAATGGCCTAAACTGACCAATGAGTGCACTGAACGAAACACTTAGTACAGAGACCGGGATTTGAAACATTGACTTTGTTTACAATTTATAGAAGGCATGAATACAGTCATGTTCGAATTTCTAAATACTACTCACTTACACTCACATGCAGGCCTGTGGCCAGTTTTTGCCAAGAGGGGGTTCCCTTTATGGGCTATGAGCCTGACATGTACTTTAGAGTTATTATGTATAACCTTTTGACAAACGACCCTTGATCTTTTAGACACTTTCCTATATCTCAGTTATGTGCCTTATAAAGGCTTATGTAATCAAAGAACAATGGGTCTCTCAACTCAGGGCTTGCATTAACGGCGTCCCGTACATGTTAAGGACTCAAAAATAATTTGGAGGACGCAAAAATTGAAAATATTTCCGTTTTTTAGACGCAAATTTTTTTTTAGGTCAACTGGGGTTTCATTAACAGCCAGCGGCCGGCGTTTTCGCCGCTTCAAACCCCAGTTACCCCGGTTCAAAAATTGAGAAAAAAATTGCCGGTCCAAATGATGAGAGATTTTGCTGACACATGAGACAAATCAATTAAGTTTGACATATCAAATGAAAGAATATAAATTGGCCTACCTTGTGAAGGCAAAATCTAAGTATAATAGGCAGATAATCAGCAGTGTTTTACAGAAACACTGAGATAATTATCTTACAATAATCCCGCCACCATTTTTATTGACCTTCTCTCAAAACCAAAACATCATTGCTTTGAGACTAATGGGTCAGTAGCAAAAAACCTTTATCACTGTCCTGCCAACTTTCAATGGATAAAACAAACACTATAATACAATTGATCCTCTTGGCATTATCTCACATCATAGTGAGGAAGCACAAAGGGCAACATTTGAAAACAAAAATATTACAAGTCAAAAATGCATATCAAACTATTGAATGTTGATCTTTATATTTCATTGAAATAATAATGTGTCAGAAAGGAATATTGAGTTATTATTTACATCAGAGTGAGGAGGAACAAGGGGCAACATTGAAAAACACATAAAGAAATTAACAAGTCAAATAGATCAATTGCTCATATACAGTTTGCATTTAAGTGGCTGGAAAATACTGATTTTATGATTTCACATCAGGATACCCTAGTCCTTCTATTTTGTAGATTTGAAACCATGACACGCAACAGTTTTTCCTATTCAGAAACAAATATTAGGTTATTCATGAAATAAAATGTATTCATTGTCGAATGAACGAACATGCATTTATTCAGTCCGTACTTAACATTTACTTCCGTTTTAAATTCGCGGCAAGAAATCAATTAAAAACTGAAAAATAAGGGACACACTTTTTTTTCAAAGGACACACTTTTTTAAAAAAATTGCGTCCTTGGGACTCACAAATTTTCTAACCTAATGCAAGCGCTGCAACTTGATTCTTTATATTATACTCCTTTTACATATTTGTTCCTTTCTACTGACAGTGATGCATGGAAACTTATATCTTTGGCATTTCTTTTTCATATCCAGGTCCCTTAGAATTTCGGTAACTTTTTTAACAACCATTTTCAAATATGATTCAAATAAAAAATATAGTAGTTTCTCACAATAGCCTATTTTTCTGAAGTTTTTATTGGGGTTATATACAATTATGGTTTTCAAACATTGCGTTTTGTGCTTTTAAATCATACACATATATCTTGCATATTTTATGAGTATCATATCTAATAATATGAAATATTCTCTGCTTATTTGCTGTTTAATAAGACTCTTATCAGTCCTCAGTAAGATTTATTAATTCATCAAATCATATATTGATAGCCAGGAAATAAATTGCAGTGATAGGACCCTTGGTAAATTACAGATATACTTAGAGGTTATGTCACTATGACGTGAAATATGCCTGAGTTCTCCCAATATAGGCCGACCTTGGGAGGCTCTATATTTGGGCAAGAACGAAGGCATATTTCACGTCATAGTGACATAACTGATGTATTACATGCCTTTGTTCCCATGGTTACTTTGTATCAATGACGTGACGTCATGATATTATCATGGTTATTAAAGAAATCTAATATCAAAACGAGGTAAGCAGGCTATATCGGGGTAATCGGGCAATATCGGTGGATATAGCTCGCTAACTTTCCCATTGACTTCCATACAAATGCTTCGCTAGGTATGTAATACAATAAAATATATCCTTATGAAATCCCAAACAATATCAAACTTGACCAAGCTCCATATTTGATTCTTAGAGTGGAGAATATATGACTTTCAACAGATCATAAATGATTTTGACCCTAAATGTTGTATTGCTTCATCTTGAAACATTGTTAAATGAAAAAAAGAAAATTACAAGGGAGTTTAGTGGAAGAGATAAGTGGATTTATATGTTTTCTTATCTATAGAAGATGTTCTGGTATCTCTAGGATATCTTGTATCATGACCACCATCATCCACCATAATACTGAAAAATTGATCACTTTTAATCTTAAATCTTTGTATCTACGGTCGACTATGATTTCACACACCCAACTACTCGACTAGAGATGTGTAACAATAATAATTTTTTGTTATTTATTAATTTCACAAAGAACAATTTTACAGGTTTATATCATGATGAACCGCAATCTCCTTGTAAGAAAGATGTGATAAAGTAAATTGAGGTGGTGAGTGTCATATGAACACTCCCCCTATTATTCGCGGGCAGAATTGGTCTTCACTGACTCTCAACTGAACACCTCTAGTAACATTGACTCTCAACTGAACACCTCTAGTAACATTGACTCTCAACTGAACACCTCTGGTAACATTAACTCTTAACTGAACACCTCTAGTAACATTGACTCTCAACTGAACACCTCTAGTAACATTGACTCTCAACTGAACACCTCTAGTAACATTAACTCTTAACTGAACATCTCTTGTCACATTTGTCTCTCAACTAAACACCTCTAGTAACATTGATGTTCAACTGAACACCTCTAGTAAAACTGACTCCCAACTGAGCATCTCTAGTAACACGGATGTTCAACTGAACACTTCTAGTAACACTGACTCCCAACTGAGCATCTCTAGTAACACGGATGTTTAACTGAACACCTCTAGTAACACTGACTTCCAACTGAGCATCTCTAGTAACACGGATGTTCAACTGAACACCTCTAGTAACACTGACTCCCAACTGAGCATCTCTAGTAACACGGATATTCAACTGAACACCTCTAGTAACACTGACTCCCAACTGAGCATCTCTAGTAACATGGATGCTCAACTGAACATCTCTAGTAGCACTGACTCCCAACTGAGCATCTCTAGTAACACGGATGTTCAACTGAACACCTCTAGTAACACTGACTCCCAACTGAGCATCTCTAGTAACATGGATGCTCAACTGACCATCTCTAGTAACATTACCTCTCAACTGAACACCTCTAGTAACATTGACTCCCAACTGAGCATCTCTAGTAACACGGATGTTCAACTGAACACCTCTAGTAACACTGACTCCCAACTGAGCATCTCTAGTAACACGGATGCTCAACTGAACATCTCTAGTAACATTACCTCTCAACTGAACACCTTGAGTAACATTAACTCTTACCTGAACACCTCTAGTAATATTGACTCTCATCTGAACACCTCT